AAAAGCCAATTCAGGAAAGAAAAACTTACAAATAGACAGAACAGCTCTTTACTTTGGATAGAATCTGCCTAAAGTAATTTAGTATTTTATAAATCCAAGCTGAAGTTGGACACTGTGTTTAAGTAGGTGTGATGAACTCTCCTTGAAAGAGGAATGAAGAATATTATTTCAATATAAATATTTGGATCTTTTATTTAATATTTAAATAATGTTAAAGGGAATCGCTAGACGCTCATGTGCCGATCAGAAGGTTGTGCATTCGCTCCCTGGCGGAGACGTACTTTCTCAAAAATGATCTCTTCCAGATCGACCCAGCCTTGAGTGGGTATCGGGTGCTGTCCTGGGAAGTAAAGGTGGCCAGCATGATGCTGACAAACATCACCAATTTTGTGCCTATTGGTCTATAAAAATATAGGTCTAGCCCTATATGCCTAAAGGTGTGGAAAAGGGACCTTTACTTATTAATGTTAAATCTGTTGTCTTGCTGTGATGTAAATTAAAAACGCAGAGCTTTGGCGTATCTCTATATATTCTGCAGATTTAAAGGTAATATTTTTCTAGCCGTATGAATTGTTGCAAAGTGATTTTGTTATATTTATTGGTGCTTTCATCAAGGCTCACAATTTTCACAACAGCTAAGCTGTTTTCTTCAGCATTGTTTTTTCGTACTAATATTTGGCAGCAAGTAAGTATTAAGAAAATGTATTACTTTTCACAACTACAAGCATGAAAAGTTACATTCTTATATACCTAAAGATGTCTGTTTTCATTACTGCTAAATGTATAAGTCGCATGTCATTTGATGTACATCAGATTATTTTCTTCAGCCACAAAATTAGGGGCATAGATGAATTAAAAAAAAAAAAACGTATTTTAGAAGAAAAGAAACAATGATGTTACTTTTGAATGGCCATTGAGTTATCTCATATGCTGATTTCTATCCACCCCCCCCCCCTCTCCCACACACACACACACAAAAACTGTTTACAATATAAGTCGCATGTCATTTGATGTCCATCAGATTATTTTCTTCAGCCACAAAATTAGGGGCAAAGATGAATAAAAAAAAAATGTATTTTAGAAGAAAAGAAACAATGATGTTACCTTTGAATGGCCATTGAGTTATCACATATGCTGATTTCTATCAACCCCCCCTTCCCCACAAAACTGTTTACAAATTCTGTTTTTGGGGAAATCCCCCCCCCCCCCCCCCCCCCCTCAAATTTGCTCTTTAGACAGTTGCAGGCAGTCTGTTGCTGATTTGATCTGTCTTCTGGGGTTTGTTTTATGGTGGACTGTAGCAGTCAGAAACATTGCAAGTACAATGTTCCAGTTGAGGCCACAATCTGTCACCATAGCTCAACCACAATTCATGCTGTTTTAACACAAACACAATGTATAATGCTTTGCAAACATGCACAAAATAGCAAGCAACCATGACAAGGGAACAGATGATCCGAATGAAAAACCACAGAATCTGAACACTACACAGCCGCTCAGCAAAATCTTGGAAGCAGTAATCCTGTTTGAAGGACACCTTCACAAAATCTGTCAAAGTTATTCCTCCCCCCCCCCCCCTTTTCAAAATTTTTTTTTTTTCTTTATATTATCTTATTTACTAGTTTTACTTCATAAGTTTGTTAATTTAGCTTGTCAGTTCTTTAGGGAACGGCTGGCCAAACAGCTAAGAACTCTCATGCCTGTGACCCAGGTTTGAATTCTCAGTAAGGTTATGAATTGTTTCTGTCTAGGCAAAATTAAAATCCTAACCTCCCCAGTCTGTGGCGACAGCACTAGCCACGCGGCCCTAAATCATCGTGCTCAAAGACACCCCAAAAATGGTAAATACAGGCAGTAAAAAATGACAGTCCTGTCATTATCTCCATTACTTCGAGATATCTTACTGAATTTACAAATCAAGTTAAATTGTGTATAATCATATCGGTATACAGTCAAGTCCACTTAAGTCGAACTCGGATCAGTCGAACTTTGATTAAGTCGACATGACCAGCTTAGTCCCTGGATTTTCTCTATTGTGTGTGCTGTCTGGATAAGTAGAAATCCTGATACGTGGAAACATTTTCTTAGGTCCCTGCAAATTCTACTTATCCAGACTCAACTGTAATACCAGGATATTAAATTTCTACAAATGAATTTAATCCCTCAACTTACATTTAGATTTCCTCACTAGGTGTTTGTTTTACTGCAGAAATATATGTTTCCATAACACAATGTTTTGACCATTTTAAAATTATCTGTTCACGTCCTAAGCTATATGTCGATATTTGTATTTAATGTTTATTTTTCTATAAGAACATCAAAACTGTACTTGCGGTTTTTTTACACACTGTTCTGCTCCGCATATGTGATAATAAAATATCTGAATAATATGATTGCTTTAGTGTAACATTTAATTTATACTGTACAAGTTTACTCGTAAATTCTGAAAGAGGTAATTAATATTCAAAATTTTTAAAGTGTTTTCGCATTGTAGATTTACATAATGAGATCACAAACAATATATATATTGCACAATATATTGCCTAACGTAGACATTTTGCTGTATCACATCAGGTGCATCACTACAGAGTAGAAATTCTTAGTAAACACCCGGCAAGATGCAGAGCTTAGTTAGTTTGTCGACAGATTATCATTGCATATCGAACTATTCAGTCCATAAGTACTCAGATCCGCTCTTCAGCATCTCCCTCAGCATCTAGTGGCTTTTGACACCAGTTTTGTTTTGGTTTACTATTCTTCTAGCCCCTGTGTAGTGCTCTTGTCTGGCTTCACCCCTTTTGATGTTATGTTCATGTAGTCTCGCCAGTGTTGCAGATTCACATTCATTGCATGATTCATTTAATCAAGTCGCCTCTCTGAGGGCATTGAGTAAGTATGTTAGGCCTGTCCATTGCTCGTCCGTTTCCCACATGAGCATCACTTGCAAGTTTGTCAGCTCATTCATTGCCCTTTACACCAGAATACCCCGGAACAAATATGAAACTTTGGTCAATTTTTTTTTTAAAGTACAGCCCAGGTGTTTAGTGTGTCCGTGTAATTGATTGTCCTGTCTGTATTTGCTTTTTTCCTCTACCAAGGCAGATTTCTTTCTGTAAACCCCCCCCCCCCCCCCCCCCCCCACGCACGCACAGAGAGAGAGAGAGAGAGTGAGTGAGAGAGAGTGTGTGTGTGTGTGTGCGTGTGTGTGTGTGTATATATATATATATATATTAAAAAAAAATGAGTTAATAGTAACTGCTTTAGGGCCTTTATTTGTTTACACAAATAATGCAAACTAACACTGTATATATCTAAAAAAAAAAAATTTTAAACCCCAAATGATTTACAAGGAATGATTCATAAACCAGTAGCAAGCCATAAAACGACTTTATTGCACACAAAGATTTACAAGCTGTAGTAGCAGTGACACCCATGAAACAGGCGAAACCATAACTGTTCTAAGATGTTCAACATGGAAGTTATACCAGAACTGATAAACTCATGCACTGTCACAAGACGATTTTTAAAAGTTTACCAGCGTACATGAGATGAATAAGTTCATTTGTAATTACTGAGCCTAGGGTGGTGCAGAGGGCAGAGGTCTTAGCTCTCCATGTCTGGTGGCTCACTGACACCTGTTTTAGGTCGTGGAGGTTTATTAGGCCCATGCTTAAACCTTCCCTGATGATTGTTCTATGCAGCATCGTTCTTGGTCTTCCCCATTTTCTTTTCCTTTCCAGGGTCAATATCAGGGCTTGCTAGTTTCCCACTAGCAGACCAATCACCAGTCGGCTATATGACATCAACTAGTTGTTTCCTTTTAAAGCATTTCTATCGTTCAGTTCTGGAGTGCAGATGCTGGTGACAATGGTGGAATGTAGATCATATGTTTTTCACTGTGCCAAAGGCACTTAAGTACATATTCAGGGCTGTTATTTGTCGATTATAGTACTGATACTATAATAATGTTCTTCAATTATCAAATGGGGGGAAAAGAACAGGCCCACTGCACCTCATCAAGCATGTTGTAAGTGGTGACTATTTAGGTTTTTTTCTTCAAAGTCAGTGTTAATCTGCCTGAGAGGTGAGAACCAACAGTCTGCATGCAAATAAACCAGATCTGTAAAACAAATGTGCACACAAAAATCAAATTCTAGAATAAGACCAAAGCCTGGAAGTGGACGAACATCCAGAACTTTCTGCTGGAGTTTACATCTGTCGAATGCACAGAAGCTGGCACCAGATGTCTCTTCATAACCTGACACTGAACCGCAGAACAGAGAAGAAGGGCACTAAGAAGAATTATCTAATGCATCTCTTAACCATCTAAATGTTTTTCAAAAACTAAAGAAATAAAGGCAGCTTTCACAAGCATTCACCATCATCCCTTACCTAACTACAGTCTTCCCAGGAGATTTGTTCTTTTGCTCAACTATTTTTACAACTACTTTAATTTCTTTTAAATAATTCTCCAGAATACCAGACTCTGAATCTGTTAATGCTGATTTTTTGTTATGTTTTTATTTGGACACACAAATCTGAATGTGGCTGAGTCTAAATTGTGGCTGCCCCAGTGAGGACTTGGTCTGTACCACACACTGTTCACAGTTTCTTGAAAACTACTTTCTCTAAATATGAACAAAATCTAGCTGAATATGACTGTGTTTGTATCCGAGATACTTATCAACAGTAATTAACTGCGTGTTTTAACCAATTTAATATCAAGACTAAATCACCCCCCTTCAGCAATTTTTCAACACATATTCAAACACAAACTTTGTACTGTTTATTTTAGACTATTCCAAGAAGCTAATTTTACAAATCCATCCTCACATCAAATAGCTTATATACCCCAGACAGGTAATGCCCCACATGTGGTTTATTCAAAATTATAGAGAAAAGGTGAAATTATAATCCACACAAATCAGCTCCTTACACCATATGGTTGTGGCCCTTCACTAAATTATGAAATACATAAATTACTGTATTAAAATAGCAGATCATTTTTTAATGGCAGCTTGTACTTCCAGCTGAGTCAGTTGTTCATCCCACATCAAAAACTGCTTGGATAAGAGAGTCACCTGTTCACAGTTAAGGAATTCAACAGGAAATGATGCATGTTAAACTGTAAATGGTCATTAACTGGTGTCTGTGCAGAACAGAGTGGAATTAATTCTATGATAAGATCACTAATGTAGGGACTTTGGACAGAACTAGCCGAATTCCGGTAAATCAAGAGCTGATGAAAATACATTAGCGTTGGGTGTGACAGATTGAATAAGCTTGATAATGTAACTGGAATATCTTTGTACTGGAACCCAGATGCGGGTGAGCCGCATGCAATAGCCAAGGATAAAATGGACTTGGCATGAGTTGGACGAGGGCCTGTGCTCCACTGAGGGATAAGGGACTGAAGGAAATAAAGAAAAAGATGCATGCTAAAATCTGAGTTGCAAACATCTCCAAACATGAAGGGGCTTCAAACGAAAGCAGTAAAAGTGTGACAGAAATTTAAAAAAACATGCCATTGTCTCGTAACATGTCAATATTGTTTTTAAGGATGTCAAGACGTTAAGAACATGCCACGACAGTGCAGAGACCAACACACTGACATCATAATGACACTCTAATTATAGCTGCCCCTCTTCTGACATGAACTAAGAGGAGCAGCGCTGTTATTTTTTTTTTTTTTTTTCTTCTTAAAAAATCAGTGGAGGGATGAAACCTATAGAAATTCATCGATGAATCAATGTTACGGACCCTTCTTTTGAGGTTGTTATTTGAAGCCATCCTGTAGTGAGATATGTTTCTATTATCAAATTATCACACCACATACGCATAGACCCATAACACTGAATGCTGTTGGGTCACCAAGTTTTGTTGATCGTCTGATCAGATTCATATTTCTGGCAAATTTGACAAAAGTCTGCCAAGGTCTTTCTTGGATCCCACCATCACCTCTTCCTTTCTACTGAGCCCTGTTCACTGATGTTCAAACACTAATTAACTCCCAACCCATGATCCCCTCAAAACTATTGACAATTAGTGTGACAAAAAATGTCCATCAATAAAAGCAATTAACTAAGTGTTAAGGATACAATATTGTTGTAAGCACTCAACAGTCGGCGAGTCTCATCTGTGAGGTGAGCAGCTTCGTCCTGTAACAGAGGGATGGGTGTGTATCAAAAACACAGGGAAACCTCTTCAGGTAAACAAATTCATACTAACACTGCCCACATTTAAGGTTAGGTGAAGTTAGGAAGATAAAGATTCACACACTGCATGACTGCGTTGACACCCAAATGTGTACAATACAATTAAAATAACGTTTTAATAATTTTACAGATGAAGAAAGATAGTTTGAGAAAAAACTAGGCCATAAGGGGGTACCATCTGAAGTAGAGACCGAGTAATGTAGAGAGTTTGTATATGACAATTTTTCACTGGGCCTACTATTCTTCTTCTGTCTTTCAGTTCAAAATGAAACACATGGACCATTAACCAACATAACAAATACAAGTTTCTATTTTATTTCCATTAGGAACAATGTAAACTAACCTGCTGGTCAATCTGTAACCTGCTCAATGTCTGCAACTTGTCAGCAAGTTTGGGAACCGCTGTAACATCAAGTTCAAGATAACATGATATAAGCGTGTGACAAAGATGATAAAAATTGTTATGTTTTGTAGCAGACTTCCCTGGGGTTGAAGTAGCACTACTGCTAGCACAACTGCCTTTCTGTCTGATCAAAACAGGTTTGAATGCTCACTGTGATATTACTTAAACTGATCACTTAAATTTATCTGGTGTCCCAGGATGACCCGGCCTAAAATGTAAATGTTCTGGAAAGCAAATACGGTTGGCACAACAGTCAGACTAAGTAAAGATTTTCACTCTGTGGTGCTCAGGCATATGGTTCTGACCCCCCACATTTTTCTTTAAAGACCAATCGACACTCAATAGATGATGTGGTCACCATGACATTTCCAGATACAAACCTGCTCCAGTGCAGAACTGAACCCAGGAATTTAGGCTGGTAAGCAAGTGTCTAGCCATCAGCCATCGAATTATCACCGTTTCAGCTGACACGATATTGACCACATAATGAACCAATTACTGACTGGTATTTAAAAAACAAAGCTGGCACCATATACCCAGTCTGCCTCCAAGTGAGGAAGTCATAAAACATGCCAAGTCTGCCTCCAAGTGAGGAAGTCATAAAACATGCCCAGTCTGCCTCCAAGTGAGGAAGTCATAAAACATGTCCAGTCTGCTTCCAGGTGTGGAAGTCATAAAACATGCCCCAGTCTGCCTCCAAGTGTGGAAGTCATAAAACATGCCCAGTCTTCATTCAGGTGTGGAAGTCATAAAACATGTGCAGACCGTCTCCAAGTGTGGAAGTCATAAAACATGTCAAGTGCATGTGAGAAAAGCAACTAATTAGGAGTTTGCTGAAATTAGATTTGTTGGCGCCGAAAGGTGTGGACATCACAGCCTAGCTGCCCCCCACATGGGTTCAAGGGTCCATTTGTGGATTAAACAAGAATTGACCCACTGCCTCTCCTTCAAACATGTAGCAATAGTCGACTAATTGGGGGCTTTTTTCAAAGTTGTTTATCTGCCTCAGAGGCAGGGAACCAACAGTTTGCATGTACACAAGCTAGATCTGTAAAATGGATATGCACACAACACTCAGGTTCAGGAACAAGACTAAAGTCCAGAAGCGGATGAACGCCCAGAACTTTCTGCCAGTTTTAAGCCAGTGAACGAGAATAAGAAGCAGCAGCCTAGCTGTAAACCGCAATACAATGTGTCAAACCTCCCTTTTAAGGGTAAATGCTGAAGAGGAAAAAGAGGGCAGAAAATGAAAACTAAATATCAAAACTACAGCTCCTGCATGGAATAAATAAAAGTCATCTGAAATGTTTTCATCTGCATAAGAATAGCGTTGAGTTGAGTTAAGAATTGACATCACAGCACTCGAGGCATTCCCATGTGTGCTCCATCCTTATCTTCAGCAGCCAGTGCAGAGTTCCAATACTGATGGTACCGGGTACCGGTCACAATCTGGTAATATGTCTGTCTAGCCTTTTCTTTGAGTTTGTCAACTGGCCAGACCCTCTGGTTACACCCAGGCGCCACATTCTCTCCAGGCCATAATAATCTAGTTTCTCTACTGATTCCGATGCTTGTTCTCAAAGGACCTTGACCACATCTGTCTTGTTGCATAAGAATAGTTTGACATTGTACCTTGTATATGTTCACTATTGATGTGCGTTTGGTTTTCTGACAGCTTCTGCAGTAGGGCTGACTGCTGTTCCAGGAACTCTGCTTCTGTTAAACAGAGAGAGAAAAAAATGTGTGTTCCTGTTATATACATAAACGACAAGAAACAAAATCAATAATTCTTAACAGGTGAATGCTGAGCTGAGAACTGCAACACAGCACTTGGGATATTCCCATAAGTGCTTCGTCCTTATCTCTGGCAGCCTGTGAAGAGTTCCAGTACAGATGGTGCCAGCAACAGTCTGATTATATGTCAGCCTTAGTTTCCCACTAGGAGACCAATCACCAGTCGGCTATTTGACACCAACTAGTTGTTTCCTAGACACTGGTATTAAAGCATTTTTGTTCTGGAGTACAGACACTGGTGACAATGGTGAAATGTAGATCATGTTTGGCACTGTGCAAAAGGCACTTAAGTGCATTTTCAGGGCTGTTATTTGTCACTTTGGAAACTGCCAAATGCATTCGCCTGAATTGTAATTCACAAATTCTTCATGCAATTACAGAATGTCCTAGAGAGATCTTAATATTAAAATGCGATCTAAACAAAAAAAAAAAAAAAAAAACACAAAAGGATTTAGCAACTAGGTGACTCTGGCCTAGTTTCAACTCTGTATAAAAAGCTGCAAACCTGACAAGTTCTAATTCCTGAATTGTGCTGCTTAACTGGCAATTCTGCCATTGGTTATTTTTGAACATTTAGGAGGCTGACTAGGATAAGAATATATTTACTAGTAATAGCAACTGTGGGTTTTCCTTGAGCCATATGGCCTTTTCAAAGCCAAACTGATGTCCAATTGTCCTGTAAGTGATAGAGGTCAGAGCAAGAGTCACCTGATGCCTTTTGTTTGATATCCCCAGGGGAATGTATTCCATTGTATTCTTCACCCCGTTTCTGTTTAGTGATCACCCATTTATCTTCTTCTTCTTCTTCGCGTTCACCAGCTGTACACTCTGCGTAAAGTTCTGGTTGTTCGTCCACTTCTGGACTGCAGTCCTGCTCCAGAACCTGAGTGTTGCATGTGCATCAGTTTTACAAATCTGATTCAATTGAATGTAGACTGCTGGTTCCTTGCCTCTCAGGCAGATGCACTCTGACTTCAAAGGAAGCTCCCCAGTTAGTCGACTCTTACGACATGCTTTTGGGGAGGCAGTGGGTCTATTCTTGTTTTCCCCACAATAGGGCCCCGGAACCCACACGGGGGAGACATCCATTTATATTTCTTTAAATATCTGAAGAGAAAAAAATTGCCAAATGTACACACATTTTTTTTTTATATATCTGAAGAAAAAAATTGCCAAATGTATACAAATTGTTTTTTTTTTCTTTATATATCTTTAAAAAAAAAAAAATTTAAATGTACACATTTTTTTTTCCTAAACATATTAATGACTAAGATTTTTTGTTTAAATGATTTTTTTCTATCAAGAATTATCATGGGTTCAAGAAAGGGTTAAATAATTGTAAATCTAATAAAACAAAAAACTGACAGATTTGATTTTTAGAATATATGTTAATACAAAAAAATATTTATGTAATGAGAATACTACAGAAAAAAGGCAACAAATTAAAGTTGGCTGAAGTCAGGGCCAAAATGTGCAGATATCACAGCCAAGCTGTAAAATACAGGACAACATGATAACTGCCCTTTCAAAGGCTAATATTGCATAAGACAGTTATCCCAAACCTAAAACTTTTTCTTACTGATAGCAAAGTGTAATGTAATTTCCTGAAATTATTTTCAGATCTTGGCGACTATTCCACATAGGCTGAAAAGGAAGTTCAAGAGCAATGCTGCTATTGTTTTGCGAAGTGTTAGCATTTCAGAACACATGGTGAGCTGAATTTTGAATGGTCAATTACAAATCAACATCACAACATGTGGGGCATTCCTATAAGCGCTACATCCCCCATCTTCAGCAACAAACGAAGAGTTCTAATTCTGATACACGTGGTAAGCTATATAAATGGTATTCTGAAAAATGGAAGTGAATCGTGAACGGCTGGGCGATTAGAGAACAATTATTTAAAAGTGATGGAGTTTGTTTTATACACAAATAATGAGAATACCCTGGACAGATAAACAGAGTAATGAAGATGTCTTGACAGAAACTGACTCACGAAAAGAACTGATTGTCCAAATCAGAAGGAGACAGTCTATAGACTCTGATCATGCCACGAGAAGGAGACAGTCTATAGACTCTGATTATGCCACGAGAAGGAGACAGTCTATAGACTCTGATCATGCCACGAGAAGGAGACAGTCTATAGACTCTGATCATGCAACGAGAAGGAGACAGTCTATAGACTCTGATTATGCCACGAGAAGGAGACAGTCTATAGACTCTGATTATGCCACGAGAAGGAGACAGTCTATAGACTCTGATCATGCCACGAGAAGGAGACAGTCTATAGACTCTGATTATGCCACGAGAAGGATACAGTCTATAGACTCTGATTATGCCACGAGAAGGAGACAGTCTATAGACTCTGATCATGCCACGAGAAGGAGACAAGTCTATAGACTCTGATCATGCCACGAGAAGAAGACAGTCTATAGACTCTGATCATGCCACGAGAAGGAGACAGTCTATAGACTCTGATCATGCCACGAGAAGGAGACAGTCTATAGACTCTGATCATGCCACGAGAAGGAGACAGTCTATAGACTCTGATCATGCCACGAGAAGGAGACAGTCTATAGACTCTGATCATGCCACGAGAAGGAGACAGTCTATAGACTCTGATCATGCCACGAGAAGGAGACAGTCTATAGACTCTGATCATGCCACGAGAAGGAGACAGTCTATAGACTCTGATCATGCCACGAGAAGGAGAAAACTGAAGTGCATCATGATGACTGGAATGTCTGAGAAGAAAAGACAGAGGGAGATTGGAAGAGAAGATGCTGGACAGTTTGACATCATGGCATGGTGGAAATGACTGAAAACACACACAACAGAAGATTGTGGATAGATATAACTGCCAACGCCACATGGCATGGCCTATAAGAAGAAGAAGGATTTCACATATTCTGGGCCAGGAAATAATAAAGTATGCTGGACTGTTCCCTTCCCAGAAAATCAACTAAAAATCATGAAAATTGTCTGGCTCCCATTTTCACGAGCTTGGAGCTACCTCAGATCAAAGTCGTGTCCCTGTTAGTGTTTGAACCAGGTTCACTGATTTGGCAAGCATATGCACTAACTACTTCAGTACCCCAGTTCACCTATGTACGGTACACTTACAATGCAAAAGAAGATATTTATTAAACAAATCATGCTTTGTAAAAAAAAAAAAAAGTAAAGGACCCTTTTCCACGCCTTTAGGCATATAGGGCATACAGGGCTAGACCTATATTTTTATAGACCAATCGGCACAAGATGGGTGATGTGGTCAGCATCATGCCTGCCGCCTTTACTTCCCAGGACTACACCCTGTACCCACTTAAGGCTGGGTCGACCTGGGAGCTGAGGTCATTTTTGAAAATAGTCCTGCTCTGCCAGGGAGCCAACCTACAACCTTCCGATCCGCGGCGAGCCTCTAGCCGCTGGGCCACGGCGACTCCCTCATACTGTGTATTTTCACAATAGGCTTAGAACTTGAATAACATCTTCTCATTTAAAGTTTACCTGCAAGGACAGTCTCTATGCGTGCATCCTCAGACAGCATCATCTCATCGGTATAAGCATGGTCTAGGTACATTTTCAGCTCTGGCACTAAATGTTATAAAAAGGTATTACTTTAATTAAATATGTTATGTTATATTATTTATTTTAAATAATTCAACTAAAGGATCCTTTTAGGTTAGAGGTGCATTAAGTACGATACTAAACTCATATTTTAAAATCCATGGCCACTCTGTCAGCATCATGCTGTTGCCTTCACTACACAGGACACTATCAAGCACCCATTTCAGTCTGGGATGATATGGAAGCTGAAGTCAATTTTGAAGAAAAAATCCAATCTGATGCGGATTTGATCTCAAGGCCTTCAGATTGAAAGGAAAGTGTAAAGCCTCTATACTACCATAGCTCCCAGTTTTATAAAAAGAAATGCAGCCACAAATAAATAAAAACTATTCAAATTATAGTACCAGAAAAACAAAAATTATTTAAATCCCACAACATTCAAGGATGTTGAACACATATGAAGATTATTTACACATAAAATGTTGTGCTTACCTTACTGGCCCCCCCCCCCCCCCCCCCCCAACACTGATATCCATTTCTAAGAATTCACATGCCCCTGCTGTTCAATTATGCATCAGCTAGTCTTTATTTGAAACATTTAATTTAAATCGTTTGGATTTTATGACAATTTTTTAATGACATGTCAAATCTGATAACAACCGAATTCCTGACATAGCTGAACAAAACAGAGATGATCCGACTGAAACATTTTGTTCAACATCATCCTAACCTATATTATAGGCAATAGGTTTGGCACATGCATTATCAATCATAACATCAAGACTATTGTCATTATCTAGCTGAGATTCATAAACGACAGAGTTGTATGAACAGTTCTAGACCTTTCCCCTTATCATTTGGTCTGGAAAAATCATATACAAATTGTATCACATCTAATTAATTGAAAAAAAATCAGAAAGTGAACCAAACACGATGCCAAATTTTGCAAACGAAAGGACTTTGTTTCGCTAATTCTAGTTTTTCAAAACATGTTCATACAAATTCATTTTACCAGCAAATGAAACAATATTAGAGTGTCTCTATAAAGAGCCATTATAGTGGCAAATGGTCTGAACCAGATAAATTTAAAAGCCACTGAAGTTGCGACCGGTCTTTAAAAGTTAATATGAATCTTACGAAAAGACATATCCAGAAACATTATAACCTACTTACATTTTTCATACAGCAGAGTGGCTTTCTTCTTTCCAGACAATGCAGTCTGTATTTTCCCCTGTATCTCCAACATACCATCAATGCACTGTATAAAGAACACATCAATACAATTATGTTTAACTATTCAAAATCTGTTTACTTAGGCAAACTATCAACAACCTGATTAAACAGAATACACACACAAAAAGCATACTACCAAACTATTACAGTATAATATGCAGCAAAATGCACCAAACCCATACATTTTCCAGGCACAATCAAGCGGCACAGATGAAGTATAGATCTGAGGTAAAGGTGAAGCAAAGAGAGAGTTGAAATTTTCTGGAAGTTTCTTGTTTTATGGGCAAACCTTAGTGATGAGATGGTTGATGATTATAACATGCGTGGAGGTTTAAAATCAAAACATGCTCACCTGAACTTTAGCCTTTCCAGTCTGTAAATAGAAGCATGAAAACAGAATTACATACAGACAACCATGCTGTTATAAGCAAGTCTCAGAACTGACATTTGTTCACAGCTAACATTACAGAGATTGGAGCAGTACACAAGTTGAAAAAAAACACCAAAATCCCAAATGTCCTCCCTTTAGATGTACTTGACATACCGTCGATAGCCCAAGATGAATATAGTCAGTCACCATAGCGTAGCGGCTAGACACCTACCTCTTGATACAAAGGTCTATGATTCAGAATTCACTGAGGTGGTATTTTCCTTTTAAAAATCTGACCCAGGCTTAAACGGGTACCAGGTAATGTCCTGGGAAATGAAGACGGCTGGGGTGATGCTGACCATATCATCCTTCGAGCGTCGACTGGTCTATGAAATATAGATCCAGCAATTAAAGGCCCTTTACGTAATCCCTGGTGGGTTTCCGGGGTCTCATTTTGAGGACAAAAGAAGAGACCCTATGCTCCCCCAAGAAGCATGTCATAAAGGTCGACTAATCAGGGATGTTTCCTTCAAAGTTGGAGTGCATCTGCATTAGAGGTGAGGAACTAACAGTTTGCTTAGAAATAAGCAGGTGTCAATGTAAAACTTACATTCTGGAACAAGACCAAAGTCCAGAAGTTGATGAACAACAAAACTTTTTGCCAGAATTTATACCCGGTAAAGTTGAAGTTGTAATCAAACCAGCTGTGCATGAGCTTACACCCTTTGGCCCTTGCTGGGGTGTCTGTGGATTACCTACCTCCCTGAGTAGCAGTCAGAATTGCGCTGAATCAGTTTTAAAGGTACCAGGGGTTGTGTTTCTGCCTTCTCCCTTTTACACGTAGCTAAGGTATGGCTCACAGTGTGCTCATTCCCCGCCACCTGGTTGCCTACTAGTTTCGCCGAGTTCTCTGTGGCTCTAAGCATGACATAAGCATGGGTAGTTGGGGCAACTGGATCTTCACATCCTGAGTCCCTGTGCCTTCACTGCAGTTTCCAGTATTTAGGGGGGTAAGTGTACTTGTCTTTACTCTTATGACTATTTAGCACCCCTTCGGCTCCCTTCCTCCCACAGATGGCAGTATAGTGTGGTGCAACAGGTTTATTATCAAGGTTTGCTCCTCTAGACCCATTGTATTTTGCCTGCGGATTCACACCCCCAGTTACCAGGACTACCTTGGGAAGAATGTGGCTCTTCGCCTCGCACAATAGTCTTGGGGTAAGAGAGTTTATGCTGGGTTAGGAGGCTGACCCCGCAAAGGAGGCTCCTTCTGTGAACAGATATTGACTAGACCTAGGGTGAGGTAAGGGGAAAACCACAACCCTCAGCCTCTCAAGGCTTAGTCCCAGTAAAGTTAAAGAAAAAGAAGAAGACTTTACTTATATGCTTCTACAGACCAATCTGTACAAAGACAGTGATGTGGTCAATATCAAGCAGAATGCCTTTACTTCCTAGGAAATTTCCTGGTATTAGTTTAAACTGTTAAAATCTTCCTCATTGAGGATTCACACATATCACCACCAGACAGGAAGGCAAGTATTTCTGGCCACTGTGGCTTTCTAGTTTAGAAGACTGGATATGATTTACAGTGTAGATTTTCCCAAAATATGGAACTTCACAATAATATACTATTGCTGCAAGTGGCAGAGATGTGGTTTTTATTGTTTAATGATGAGAATACCCTGGATAGACAAACAAGAGTAATAAAGACGTCTTGAGAAAAAACTGATTCCCGAAGAAAACTTATTGCTCACATCAGAAAGACAATCTACATTCCTTGGTCATGTGATGAGAAAGAGAGAACTAGTACATTGTGACAGAGGGACATTTGTAGTGGAAAAGAGGCAGAAGAGAGACTGAGAGAGAAGATGCTGGAAAGTCTTATTCTTCTGTTCGTTCATCCGAGTGATGTAAATGCGTTGTGCCTGTTTACAGCAAAGCTGTAATATTTGTGCCTTTCGGTTGACACATCTGTCTAGATGTGCAATTCTTGTACGGATTTCTTCTTCTTCTTCGTCTTTATCAGCAGTAGACGGAAATTACTGGTTATTTATTTCTACACTTTAGGTCTGTTCCAGAACTTGAGTTTTGCATACACACCTGTCTTATTTATATGCAGACTGTTGGTTCCTTGCTGCTCAGGACTTCAAAGGAATCAGGATAATTAGTCACCTTTTATGACATGTTTATTAGGGTAGGGTCTACACCCCCCTCCCTCCACCCCTAAGGGGCCCCAGAACCTACACAGGATTGTGTGGATTTCAGAGGTAACAATCTTCATTTGCTCTCAACTAGACACTGTGGACTGGCAAACAGAGAATCATCCCCACAAAGCAATCAGGGGGGTCTCAGTGAGCTAACCAGTTACAGTAACAAATTTGATAATCAGCAGATGATAAATTAACCAATACTGAGCAATGATCACTATGCTGTATCGATTGCCTGCCCATTGTTCAACTGTACGTGTACACTTTCCTAATATTTAGTAGCCTTCATTGCTGAGCCATCTGTGACACACATCTGTTTAGTCTAAATGTATATTTATTTACAACAGCCTGTTACACGCAAAGCTACCACTGTGAAACCTAGCTTTATGAAATCTAATACAACTTACTGTTCACCCAGTGTGTTGTAAGCCTTCAACATTGTTCTGCTTCCCATTGTACTTTGTAAAAAGATCTTGCTATTAAACTTTTTGCTCATTTGGTCAATTGTTTATGTGACTTTTCTGAATACTTATCTATTTACTGTTCCCAAGATAGCCCAGTAGCCTACTATTCACAATAATAATGTAATGAAAACAAAGTCTATGCCAATTTCAATTACTAGATATATTGGATGCAGGCATCTCATATCACATTAACTTCAGTAACATTCTAAAATATTATACAAATATGCAAGCTGTGTCCTTTATGTCAATTAGTCATGTTATCCTAGGAAAAAAAAGAAATGCAACTGGAAAATTTAATAGGCATTCAGACACAAAGCACTGCTCATACTTTGGGCTACGTAGAGTCGGTTTCTTAATATGAACAGGTGTGGCTATTCACAATGTCAACTGCCATGCCCTTTATCTATCTTCATGTTGTTGCTGACACATAAGGCATTCACAAATGATATCCATTGTGGTTGATCTGCTGCTTTTCTGTATATGTTATCACATGTCATTTTAAATTCCTTCCTTTCTCTTTCTGCTGTGCTTCAGGTTTCCTTAGGTCATCCACATCTCCTTTCCCATTTGCTGTCTTTGCTAAAATGTTACAAAGGTATTCTGCAAACTTGTTCAAACCATCTTCATCTTCTTTATTTTATAACATTTGCCTCTTCAGTTCTCCATTTGTAATCTTGTTTGGCCAAAATTTTCACATGTTTCTGAAATATGTCCCCTATGATGAACACAGGATTACCCATTAAGCACGTGCTTAGGGCATCACAAATGGTGGGGGCACCAGAGAAATGTTTAACAGCCTTGGAGCTAAGCATTTATATTCTTGGTTGAAGTATATTAAAAAAAAATCCTGGCAGAACAACAATGCAACAAGGCAGGCTGGATGCTTTATCCCTATTAAGTATAGAAGCAGATGTGTTAAATCAAATTTGTCTGAGGGTCTAATCAAAGACTTTGCAATTAAAAAAGTAGGAGAAAACACTGAAATCTTTCAAGTGGTTAGGGTCTCAAAGGTTCTATACCACTGATGTCTGGAAGAGCAGAAAGGTGCTAAACCATTAGTCACTAATGTGCTAATATTACAGAAATATTAGAAAAAAGTTGAAGACATTATAGAAGAAAAAAAAAAAGGCGGAGGGGGAGGGGGAAGAGGTGGTACATGAAATAAGTATTGAGAAGATCAGTATAGATCAGAACTATAGAATATTGTAAACATATGCACAAGGTTTAAATAGAAAATATAGTGCTGCAAACCAACACACCCCCCCCCAACTGCATAACAAGCAAAAGAAGTTTATGGGAGTTAAGTGGTTATTACAGAATAAGTTGTTAAGTGGTTAAAACAGCGGTCTAAAAATCATGACACAAAGGTTCTTATCCCCATTAAACCAAATGATTTATCATTTACTGGAGACATAATAAACTCTATCTATAGTACCTAAAAACTTAACTGCCTTGTCAAGCAACTTTTAGTCTGCAGCCTTTCACCAAATCCTTGCTGCAGACACCAGCAAAGATTACTGCAATGTTAGTTTAATAGTCAATTCCTGAACAAGCAACTTCATTACAGTTTGGAGTCAACAAGCTTTTCTGGTTTCAATGTTAAGAATTCCTATTTTCTGCCTCTTTAGATCAATACTGCATTTACTCTTTAGAAACAATTCAAATAATTTACTTCATAATTAGCTGTTTAACAATTTATTACTAGGGATTAACATGTCCAGATTTGAATTAATTTGTTACAATATTTAAACCATTCTAAGACTAGTCAAGGATGTAACCATGCAAACAATACTCATGATTGCTCAGGTACAAAGTATGAAAATTATTTATTAGTTTATGCAGCAGTGAGTTGTAATTATATGCAAGATTAACCCAAATATAAAATGTAACATTATGGAGGGTTAATTATTAGTTTTTATGACCACATCCTGGTAAGGTCAATGTATATCCACTGTCTAAACACGTACAGTAAATAACAATCCCATAGTCAGAACATAAACATCAAATTCAACATCATTTTCACCTGCCATCATCTTCACAGTCAGTCATCAATCTTCGCATATTTTTTTTCAAGGTGAAGAAATGATTGTTTGTTTCATTATGAAGAATACACGTTATAGTGACTGTACTCACAAGGTACCAACAGCCATGTTATTGTCAAATGTAACATTGATCAAATGTCACATTTAAGTGCGCTCAGCTATTCTGATGTCTTCTAGAAGCCAGATCCCCTTCCTTCATTCCCTCGCCAAAGTACCAAAGAACGAGTGCTCTATTAGCATACAGCAGGTCAAACTTGTGGTCCCGTCACACCCAGGCTTCTGAGATATCT